GCTGAAATGAAAGCATATTTCCATATATCAAATATAACACTGTTGAATAATATGAATTTTGTGCCATAAAAAAACCTCCCAAAACAAAACCAAACAACATCAAATTATTTTATTTCAAGTAGTGGACAATAATAAAAGAAAAAAAAAAGCAATCAAATGCCAAAAGAACACCAAAACTGTAAAAGTTTAGCACTTATCACATGCTTCTGCCAAGGCCTCCTTAAAAAGAAGCATTTATTTCCCTTCTATGCTTTCTGTTTCTTATCCAGTCTTTGCCCCATTATAATGTGTTTTCCTTCGTATTCCATGACAGCTTAGTTTCCTTAACAGCTTTTTGTAAGAGAATTTCTCAAAAGCTTCTTGAAAGTCCTAATAGATTATGTCAGCCAGTTCTCCTTTATCCAATATTTATTTGACACTTTCAAAGAATTCTAGTAAATTAAAGAAGCTCGATTTTCCTTTACACAACACACATTACTTTGTCTGTTACATATCATGCTTATCTAGGATTTTTTTATAATCCTACTTTTAATTATCATTGCAGTCCATTTGCTGAAGTAAGACTCACTGGTGTGTAATTCCCAGGATCATCCCTAATGTCTTTTTAAAAGACAGATAAAGCATCTTCAGCAGACGATGTTAATGAGAGATTGTTTCACTTCTGTGCAGCTCAACCACTTTGTCCTTAGGTTTCCTCAACATCTGGTCCAGGTGGCTTGTTACCCAGGTTGGAATCTGGCCAGGACAGAGGGGTTAACACCTCTACCCATGAGGAAAGTGCTCTGAAATCCTTAATGGCCAGATGCATCAAGAACATCAACCTCTGTGTATCTGCTGATATTCAGCTTTTCCAGGAGCATGGTACCCCATGCTGGGAAAATATCATGGCTGTCATCAGTGGACTCGCAGGGCAGAATTTTCTTGCAGCTTTATAGACTACGAAGCTGATAGAACCATTTCAGCCATTTGTATACAAATATGCAGCAATTAGAGTGAATGAATGAAGCTCATTCCATAATTCCACTGAGCACTATAGTATCATGTAATCAGTTTATTCTACCTGCAACATAAAATTCTACTTAGTTACACAAGAGTACATTTTATCAATTATTGATTTATGAACATCTAAGGCTTTCTTCAGTCACCATTTATGCTCTTGGTTTTATCGTCTCTGCTGTACTGAGAGTAGTGTCATCCAGTGGCATAGTCTATACTACTTAAAATTCCACATACTTCAGTAGATTACCCCATTAACCATTATGTTTTCCAGGCTGTATAGATTAAAGTAATTAAACTTGTCCTCAAAGACCTAGCTTCTTGATTATGGGATCATTCTACCGCCTGCAGCACATTTGAGGTGATTTGCAGTAATATTGTCTTTGGGAATTTAGTGACCATATTACACTGACAGCAGTGAGAGCTGGTGGCCTTCTAAAAATCCAGATTTCATCTGTGCCCCTTAGAAAATATCTCACAGAGGCATGCTGGGGCGAGGCAGCAGTGTTATGGGTGGCTGGATGGTTTTGGGAGACTGGCACTGGCCTGTTAAAACACAATTTGCTGTTTGTAATAGACTTACAACTGTGTTCTGGTTGGAAGTGGCTGGAAGAGGTTTGCAGAAGACTGTACACTGGCCCCTGTGAAATGAGCTGGATAGCATCAGCAGAAAGAACAGGTGCCCATATCATGCTTAAACCAAAGTATCCCACTCAATTCTCAGGGTAATAACTTCAGCATCAAGGCCAAGGATAAAATGAGAATGGTGACTTAAACTGCTTTTCCCTCCCGTGGAGGTGTCCCTTCAGGTCAAACGAATGCATGTTGGTCTGAAAATCTGAGGAAAGCTGCATGTTTTCTGACTATGCTTTATCTTTTCTGTGGATAAAAGGGAGATTTAAGAATGTCAATCCTGCATCTTTCACTGGCATGAAATTTTCTAAAAAATGTGTAAAGGAGGCAAAAAAAAAAATTGATGCTTGCAGACAGGCTGTTGATACATTGTGGAGAAATTTTCAAAACCATTCCCTTTAGAAATAATTCATCTTGTGTGTCATATATTTTTCTCTTTTTCTCTGTACTTTTTCCTCCTTACAAAGGACTGGAAAACAGGATCCTCAATGCTTAAGAGTTAATCTGCTTTTGCTACCCATTCCTCACCTGCAGTCAATATTCCCCCTCTGTGACAACCATAGCTATGAATTTATTTATTCAGCAGCAGTGCCCAGGGGCCCCAGTAGGGATCAGCATTTCATTTATAATATGCAGCAAAATATAGCAGAGTCCCATGTGACTTTTTTTCTTAATAAACAAAGGATGAAAGGATATTAGTGGTTCTTCCCATTTTACAGATGGAGAACTGAAAAGCAAACAGATTAAAAGGTAGATGCAGAAAAGGATTTAGACAATGTACCCACTGCCACTTAGCCTGCATCCCATATACTCATCACTCTGATTCTCGGCCATCTGCTTTTGGAATGATCTCTATATTTCATGGATTCTTAGGTTTTTTACTAAATTTCCCTAGGGACGTGCATTTCTGCCATAATACAACCTGAATCTGGAGCTGCCCAATGTCTATTTCAATCCAAAATTCCCAATGGGATTCAAAAACTAGACTTTCTCTGCTTGGCTCATCCATGTTCTTGCTGGATTGTGCTTCTCCTAAAATAGAGAGCTTAGACCTCTTGTACATAAGAACCTAACAGAGACCAGGAACTTGGATGAGTAAATCATGGTGGTGCTTGGTTTTCCTTTCTTTCTTTCTTTCTTTTTTTTTATTATTTTGTTTTGTTTTGTTTTTTTGGGGTTTTTTTTGTCTTTTTCCTCCCAATATTTTTGTATTAAATCTGGAATCTGGATATAGACTTGTGTTCTTTGTGCTTTAAGTGCAAAGGGATGATGTTTAGTACACAGTTGTCTGGACAGCCTGTCTTATCAGATACGATAGGAGGAATAAAAGTGGAAGGTGTTTGTTGACAATCCTGAGTTTAGCAGTTGAACACAATTCCCAGAGTCCAAAGACCTGTCTTTTATTTTATGTATGTCTTTTATTGGGACCTACTTATATTTCATTTAAGACTGCTGATCCAATGTGGTGGTCTAAGCTTACAAGACCCTGGTATTTGACTACTATAAATAATACTTGAGTAAGACCATTAGAAATTAATGCTGTCAGGTAAATTCTACCTAATTAAGACAGAAGTTCCTGGAAACAACATTGAAAAGATCTAAGTCTTATGACTGAATCTCCTTTTGTTTTTCTAGCTTTTTTTCCTACATAGCTGCAAACCTTGCCAGCTTTGGAAAGTTCCTGGATTTTTATTCTGACCCTGGCTACAACCCTGATTATCTCATCTTGCAGTCCAATATTCACAAAGGGGCAAGAGTAAAACAATATTTCTCAGAAATTCTGCAATCCACATCAGTGAGGAATAATATTTCAGTCTAGTGTGAGGTGTATCTTTAATTTCTGTGTTTCTCTTCTGTGTTCAGGAATGGTTCCAGGTATCAGAGTTCATATACAAAGTAAGTGTCTCTGTTATGGTCAATTCAGGGAAAAACTATTCTTTCTCAGAATTTCTGGGGCTATTCAAGACTATTTAAGTACTAGGGACACTGCCAGATAGAAGCTTAGTTGTTATCATCTGTTCTTGGAAGCTAACATAATTTAACATTATGGAGACAAGCCATTTTGTGCCACTTGTCTTCAGTGCTGGAAAAAAGCTCCAACACAAATAATATTAATATATATATGCTATTGACTAATGAGTCAGATTAGGAGTGAGACTTTTATTATCCTCTATTTCTAGAAGTTCTTGGCTTTTTGCATAGCTGTGCATTGTAATGAAGAACAAGATTTATATTGTTTTCCTGTGTAAAGAATACCAGTCTCTGAGCTACAGTAAATTTGCATGCTTTCACTGAAATCCACAGGACCGTGATTAAATTTGAACTACCGATTAAATCTTTTGTTCTGTTATCACCCAGGTTCTTAGTGCTTTGCAAGATCAACCTGCATGGATCTAATCCAATTATCTTTGCCAAAGGAAGGTTGACTTTGACTACGCCAGGATGAGTAACTGTGTGTCGTGATTTCAGAGCCACTGCAATGAAACCCCCCCTGCTCTGCAATTATGCTGGGAACTTTCAAACACACATTTGACAAACTTTTCACTCTTGAGAGTGATTCTCCTGAAGGATGAAGTGTTTCATCTCACCCCACAGCAGAAAAGGAGCAGGTACCTGCAACCCACCCGTTCTCTAAGGTGCCCCAAACTGGCAGCCCCCAAGCCTGGCACTCAGAGATTTGTAGTGGCAGCATTATGAAAACCTCTGAAAACCTTGAAAGAAAACCTCTCCCAGGTGGGTCAGGGAAAATGGCTCAGAGAACCCATCATCAGCCTCAAATCAGTGAAAAACACAAGCTGATTTTCTTCTTCCACTCCTTTTTTTTAAATTTTTTTATTTTTTTTTATCCTACCCCTTTTCCTCTCTCTTATGAGAGAGAGAGCCTTAGTCTTCTGTTTAATAACAGTCTGGGTTAGCCAGACAAGATAATTTATTTCACAAACCTTCTGGGATCTGGTCACCAAAATGCAGCTAAGTCAACATAAACAGTCTAGCATGAGTACGAGTTCTTGGGGAGTTAATAGGAATGTGCACTTTGGTTCTTTTCCCCCACATTGGAAAGTAGAGTCAGCATCAGAAAGAGAAGCTGAATTTTGTAGGTTTGCTGTGTTTTTCTCTTTGTCACCTTTCTTTGTCTTTTCTCCGTCTCCTGCTTCAGACATTTCCTTTGCTTTCCCTGGAAAAAAAGTAAATTAGCAACAACAGCAATCCTGGCCCTTCTCAGTTAAATTCTTTAAGGATGTTTTTTGCTTTTCTGTTCCAAAAACCATTTATTACCATCTTTAACACAGTGTTTCAGTGTGTTAAAGCACACTATTCCACTATTCTCTCTAGAGGTAGTTTTTTTTTTTTTTTTTTTTTTTTTTTTCCTACAGCTAAAGGGGTAATAAAGGATACAGTTAAAGCCTCACTTAATAGTTTAAAATTTCATGCTTTCACCTTTTTTTCCTTTGTTCCCAAATGACTTAGCAGATTAACTCAGTGATGCTGGACTGGGAGAAGCAGTGACATTAAACATTTTTCAGTGAAAAAATCGGGGAGTTCTGCTAGACCAGGAATGAGACTGAGGCTTTTTCCTACTATATCCAGAGACTGCACTTATCTGAAAAATAATGAATTTTGAAAAAAAAACAAAAACAAACAGAAATAGGTACCACAAAACAAACAATAATAAAGGAAAATTAGGGGTGTTTTAAAATGTGTTTTAAACTTGCCCATTCAATTTGTTTTTCCCAAAAACTCCTACTGCCTCCTGCCAGAAGAAGATCATCAAGCCACGTACTCAAGATGAGGATAGCTTCAAGCCTAAAATCACATCAACACAAATGAGATAAATAGAATGCATTGCACAAATATGTGTGGCACAGCACACCTGAGACATACCTGTATGGGACAGCTGCTGTCCTTAGAATTATGGCTCCAAATTTTTCTTGAACTGTAAGCAAAATATTAGGACTTGTCATGATCCAAATGAACTGCATTTATTCATACCAAATTTTACATTTTAGACAGAGAAAACAAAACTTGCCATTTCCAGAATAGGTGTCACTTATGGTCTTCTGACAAATATTTTGTTCACACTAACACACATGCATCAGTAACTCAGTAGTGCATATATCTAACAGTGGAAAGCTTTACTGCACTTCAGTCCCATGCTTTCAATTTGGCCAGGCAGCTGAACATATCTTCAATGATCCTTAGGTTCCTTTTTAACTCTGTGAGTTGGAATCCATCACTTCCCAACATTTTGAAGTGTGAGAATTTGAAAGGTTTATTCTGATCATTAATCAGCCCCTCCAATTAAGCACAATTACACCCTATAATGATAGTTATAATTATTGATTGATTAATCTTTCAACTATTAATTAAGAATCTTAATTAAAGGAGTTTTTTCATGTTATTTAAACTGAAACATGACTAATTATTTTATAATTTACCCAGTATGTGCAAAAATTGCATTAGTTCTGTTGTGTTTTCTCTGTTTCATTGCTGCATTGAAAAAGCTGGATTTAGATTTTCAAAAAGAGCTATGTCTCCATCCTTGCATGACCAACTTGTGAAAAACTTTGTCCATCCAAGTTTCCAGAAAGAGCTGAATCTACAATGACTTTTACAACAGGAGATGCAAAGTAATTTCATGAGATTAAATAGTTAATTTGGAAATCTTGGATTTGCCTGCAAACTGTCATGGGTATTTGAGTAATTATTCCTTAGCCTTCAAAGTGTCTCACAAATGTAAGATAAAGAAGGAATTCATACTCTGGCATGAATGTAAGCACAACTGAAGTCATACTAAGTGAAGGATGATGACAAAGTTCTGGTCTCCAAAAAAAATTCCAGTCTCTAGTGTATTTCTTCTGGCTATCACAAAACTGAATTACAGCTTCAGAGAGTGAATCCATAAAGGCAGAGAAAAATGATGAGGGACTTAGATATACCTATAGGCACCACATTTCCTATTTGGAAGAAAATATTTTTCAACTGCATGATAAATTTACGTAGAGAACCATTTCTAGGACTGCATATTGTTGTTTAATTCAGTCCTACACTTGTATTACAATGGTCTGAACTCTTCATCTCAATGTTACCAAAATAATCTTTTGGGAGAACTTTTTATTTCCAATGGTGTTTTTTTTGCCAGAACATCCAAGCTATTTGTTTTCCATGAAACCATGGTAACTCTTACTTCCATTAAAAGAGATGGATACAAGCGCAAGTTTTTAAAAGAATCCCATCAACAAAATTTTAGGTGTCTGCAACTGAGTTAACCATGCTGTGTATAGTTACTGGATAGAAACAAAGAATTCTAAGTTGAGAATAGTTTGATGCTTAAAAAGATTCTTAAATTTCAGGCAAGTGATTCTCTCTTACAACTTGTAAATTTCTGTTGATTGTAAAGGAAGGCAAAAAGGTCTTGCTCAAATATATAGCTCTAAAAATAAGTAAAATCCTCTTTTTCCTATGTTTTGAACTCTTGCACACTCTATTTAAAATTTTAACTGCAGTCTGTGCCAAAAATCTTCTATGTTGGAATACACATTCTGAGAATATTCATTTTAACAGTTGTTATGTTGAACGTGTGATGGGATTATTTGTGTGAACATAAATAAGGTTGGAAGAATCGTGTTGTTTAGTCCAATAATACAACTGATCTTGGTAGAAAACAGTGTAAAGACATGCACTTTTTATTAGGAAATTAATCAACAGGGGATATTGATTTACAAACTAATAGATTCTGTTAGAATAGATTCTTCTAACTATAAAACTTTCAGTCTGGAGCATGTTATTTTTACCTTAAAAACATCAAAATGAATTGTTCCCTGGTTATATTTTTCTAGAAGCTTTACTTCTGTGGGATAAAAAAAAGTTATGTCATTTCCAGCTAATCCCTTGCCATTGTGAAAGAAGATAAAGAAAAAAACCCAAAAAAATCTCCAAAAAACCACACCAAGCAAACAAACAAAAAAAAAAATTCAAACAAACCCAAAAAACCAAAATGGAGAAAAGAAACTCAAAAGGATAAGCAGTTGCACCTCATTCTATTAGTAATAGGGTTTGTTGATAGTACGCACAAGTAAGCTGGAAATCCTATAAAGCTCATGACATATTTCAAACAACATACAAACTTAAGTGTCAGACAAGGCTAAAAAAATTATAGAAGTGTCTGCCTCATAAATTCACATATGTGAGATCCTGACGTGCCTGTCCCAAACTTGGCAGACTTCAGCAGGGGCAGAAACCTTAGCAGAAACCAAAAAGATCCTGATCTCTGAGAGCTGGCCTGTGTTCCAGGTTGTGAAGAAACCTGCTTCTGTTTGGGATGAACTGTTGTTTTTTGTTTTGTTTTTAACCCAGCCTTACACACCTGCACATGGCTACAGCAGCACCTTGTCAAGATGAACTGTCTGGCCTAAATCACCCTTTGCTCTGTATCAGCAGTGGGATGAAAACACTGCTTGGAATGGAACTTAAAGGCCTGGGATTTTCACTGAAGTCATGATGATGTCTGCACAAGAGAGATATTCAGGAAAGAATACAATTGGTATTGTGTGAAGTGCTGGTATTGACTTCGGGCAGCTTTTCACTGCAAGTTCTTCTGAGTCCTCATCAGAAGTCCATTGTAGCCAACTGAAAGGAACCCCTTTTCTGTGAATATTAGCTGGGCTTGTACTTGTCCAAAATGTCTGGCGTGAGATTTATATGCTGAGACTGCAGTATGTTCAATCTCCAGGCACAGAACAAATTTTGATGTATTTTCTATATTATTTGACCAACTTCCCTTGACTTTCATTGAGTTTAGATTAAGTGAAAACTCATCAGTAACCTGCACAGTCTCCTTCACAGTTTGAAAATCAGTGACCTCTTTCCATCAATAACTATATGGAAGCCAGTGCTTGCCAGATCAGAAACCATTTATGAACATAAATTTGCATAAGCTATAAATCATCTGCTTCTGAACAATCTGCTCAAAAATCACAAAATTGAGAAAATATCTCACATTTTTTTCTTATTTACCTTCTTTGATCTTAAGTGAATAAAAATATTCTGCTAATTGATCGACTGATAAATATCCATGAAACACCCAACAAACATATTTTGTAAACAGGTTCTGATTTTTAAATCATTACTGTTTCACCTATGGCCTTGTTAGTCCAGGGCTTAAATTATCCACTCCTTTTGTGCCACTGGAGACAATAAATATTGGCAATCAGTAGTTTGGGTGATTTTTTCTGTCTCATTCAAATTGTAGCACAAGGTGAGTTCTCAGCGATGAACTGAATTTCCCTGAAGTTCACAGAGCTTTCGTTATCAGCATCTCTCCCTAGCACACAGGGCCCTGCGTTGCTCACACAGACAGCACCAAAATGCACTGCAGAGCTTTTAATGCATTCTGAATAGCTCTTGTCATTCAGGATCCTTCATTTCATGTTTCAGATTTTCCCAGGGGGCTTTGATGTTAATCCATTTCACACTTCTAACACATCTGTTCTTCTTCTGGCTTTCTTATCTCTTCTGAGCATTCAAATAAAAAAAATAATAAAAAAAAAGGAGGAAAAAAGGAAAAGAAAAAAGTTTTAGCTGTCATTGTGCAGTTTCTGAAGCCAGACTTTAATGATGAAGCACACTCCAGCTAACTTCATTGATACTTGGTTTTAGCCACACAAGGAGTTATGTATGCACAATATATCCAAGGCTAACTGCTCCCACACTTTGAATTTCTCTTGACTCTTTATGTAAATTAAGAAAAAACTGCCCATCACAGTCCCTGGAAATAAGACAGTGTGGTCCAGTGATTAATTTTTGCACATCAACAGGTATTATAAGAAGCAGCCACCTTCTCCAGCAGAATTAATTAAACTGTGACCAAACCAACTTTCATGTGTAGGTGTCAATACAAAGCAAAATGCTGAACAAACACAGGGCAGTGGTCACTTCTGCATATAACAGGAGTTGCCAAAATTCAGTGTTATGATCTTTGATCTCAGAAAAAATTAACTTTTCCTTCCTCAGAAGGTCAAGATTCAGAATAGAAATAAGTAATGCTAGTAAGAAAGATATTTCAGAATTCCTTATTTTCCTCCACCCCACCACAAGTGAAATGCATCTCACGTATTTGCACCAGCCCTCTGTAACTAGTCAAAGCTGGGTGCTCAGTCTCATTCCATAGTCAGTGGTGAAATACTGGGAGCTCTGGGTGTGATTCATCCCATCCCAAGATTTCAGTCTCTATGGGATGAATCACCATCTCTAGGTGTCACTTTCCATTGACACACAAAGTTTCTGGATGACAGCTTTAACTAAAAGTTTAACATTCAGGTAGCTAGAGCCCAACTAAAAATAATCCTAACTTTTGATTTTATCCTGGAGAATAAAAGAACTATTATAAATGTCCTTAGTTTCCTTTTTATCCTTTCTTTCTCCTTTGGCTGGGTAAGGCATTAAGGCTATTATTAATGATAGTCCCCATTTTAAATATGAAAATGTACTATTTCATGGTTAAACTTTGCAGGAAATGTTCTATTGTAGAGTTGCACCTTATTTGAGGCATGTTTTGTGGGACTGACCAAAACTGGTTGCTTAACAAAGGCAGTAACTTAATAATGCTGGAAAAGAATTGTATTCAAAGCATCTCTATAGACAGGAGGTTACCTAATAACTTTCTATTGTAGGCCTGTCACTGTCTATGAAAGACATGCATTATCATATAAATGAAAAGACTGCTCTTTTCCATCATCCATATCCTCACTCCCCCTTAAAAAAAAAAAAAAAAAAAGAGAGAGAAAAAAAAAGGAAAATCTGTCCAGATCAGACTTTTCAAACTTTAAAAACATGAAGCTCTTTGCAAATTCTTACCAACTCTTGGCAGTTCTCAAGTAGTTTTAAACCACATCAAAATGTAATTATAATGAGGCAATTGTGACATCTTTGTGGATG